TTGCATTCAGTGAGAGTCGAGTCGAAAGTACAGACTGAAACCAATCCAGTCCCTATTCTGCAGTAAATCTGAGTATCGGAAGCACTCTCCAGCGAAGTAGAGACTGTGTGACTCTGCAGTAGCTTCTGTGAATATCATGATTTTGGATAGTATTATACGTTTTTTCCTTTATTTCTTATTTCGCTTAAATCATACCTAAACCACATTTCTCGTTGTACTATAAAATCATTAATATCAAAGAAACATTGCGAATTTGTGCAAAATGATATAAGGCGAAGATCGCAGTACCTGCGTTTCTCTGGGAGACAGAGTGATGGACGAGTGCGTCGTACCTAAAAGGTTAAATTATGCTACTTTATTTTGGCAATACTTATCTCTATTATTCGATCCTAAGCGTATAAGGGACTTAGCTTAGGGACCTATCTTATAATTACTACGGTGCTATATGTCTTACAAGGAGAGTGCAAACCCTTCGGGTTACCGATTTAGTTGAAACCTTGCAGGTTTGTAGATATCGTCATGCAGTTTAAAAAATATATTATTATAGCCGCAACTACTCAATAGTTTTTGAAATATTTACGATTGAAGTCTTATTACACTATTAATTATAGATTTACTTATAATACTTGTAAACTAGAGTCGTGGCCTAACGGCGACAGTCGAGAATTCCTATGCTGGATGACACAGGGGTTCAATTCCCGGTCATAGTTTTGGTAATTATTTTTCGATCTATTTTTTATTTTACATTCATTTTTCGCCTATGAACACATTGTAAATAAAATTTCTTAATAAAAAAGTTTATTTTTTACGCTTTCTTATGCTAGTATATATTTATTACAAAATAATAAGAATATTATGCAAGAAAAACCGTTTTCTATAGCAATTTTATTTACTACTAACTAATTATTAAATTAAACATCGTATAAGAATGTTGCCTATAATTCAAATTTTGCTGTGTAGTTATAAATGTTCATGAATTAATTACAGAAATTTGGAAATTTATTCATTTTCTACTGCCGAATAAATACAAATTTTACCGCTTGCGATCAGCGCCATCTATGATTTTGGATCAGAATATCAGAAAAGTAATAGGAATGTAGAATAGGCGAGGAGGTCGTCGAAGAGCTCGTCACGTGACGGACAGGACAGAGAGAAAATAGAAAAGGATAGAAGGGTTCCGAAAGTGAAAAGTTAATAAATTGCTCAATTTCCGTAATTAATTTATGAACTTTTATAATTTCATTCCGAAGCTGAAACTTTGAGCAATATTCTTATGTAATTTTCGTACATAATTTGATACGAATTAGTTAGTTATTAATTATTGTTCGATGGCGTCCATGATTTCGTAACGATGACCATCACGATCTTCCGTGAAAATATTTAATACTAAACGAAACTAGAAGCGAAATGTGATCAAAAGTTATATGAGAAGATTCGCAAGAACATTGTTCATGAATAATGAGTTCATAAAGTTTCATAAATTAATTACGTAAAAGATAGTAATTAATGAAAAACCAATGGCGTCTTCGAAGACAATTCAAACATTGCGTAGAATAATCATTAATAATTAATTAATTAGGGATAAATTTGTATCGAAATATATATTGGAAAATTCTTTAAGGATCTGCCTTTATGATGCAATTATAAAAGTTCATAAATTAACCGCAAGAATTGAGTAATTAATTAATTTTCTAATAACTAGTAAATAAGATTGCTATAAAAAAGTGTTTTCTTGCATAATATTCTTATTAAGTAATAAATATATACTGGCCTAAGGAAGGGTAAAAAATAAATTTTTTTATTAAGAAATTTTATTTACAATTTTTTATTTACAATGTTTTCATAGACGTAAAATGGACACAAAATAAAAAATAGATTGAAAAAAAATACTAACTTACGAACCGGAATCCAACCTCGGTCCTCGAGCATAGAAATTCTCGACTATCACCGTTAGTCTACAACTCCGTTTAAAAACTATTGAAAATAAATCTGTAATTAACGAAGTAATGAAACTTTAATCATGAATATCTCAAAAGCTGTTGAGTAGTTGCCGCTACAATGATATATTTTCGTAAACTTCATGACGATATCTACAAACCTGCAAAGTTTCAACTAAATCGGTGACCCGAAGAACTTGCACCTTCCTTGTTAGATTAATAGTAAGGGATCATTTCTGTCAATAAGGGAAGCATGTTTAATACTTCAGCAATGGCGTTAGAATGGGTGGGTTGGTGAAGGTTACTGGGGATTCGATCCTACGGTTTGCTCAGCGGACTTCTCTTCTACATAGTAGCTAAGACTGGCTTATTCATTGGAGTTTAAAGATGATCCCACAGTGAGAGTAAATAACGTGTACCTGCAAATTCAGTGTAGACTGCAGAGTCCCAAAGGAAGCTTTGCAGAAGTTGGACTGGATTACAAATACGCTGAATATTATATGGAAGTAGGAATGGAGTTTTACTAAAATGAATCCAACAGTATTGTGAAATAAAATTGTCCAAAATTTGCTTCTTCTAATATATTTCAAAGTGGAAGAAGACCTAAACTTGATCAAAACGAAGTAATACAGAATAGAAGAACGTTAAGCAATGTAAAGAAACATTTGTATAGGAAATATTATTGTATTTTATTTAATACTCGAGAAATTTTGTTGTGAAGATGTTCGGAATACAAATAGTCAAATATAGTCAAACATTTTCTCTTTGCTTCGATATTCGAAAACTGATCACGTTTATGAACAGAGAATACGACAGTGTTATATTGCTAAGTCGGTATGGTAGTCCGAATTAAGCAACGTAAGTTTATACAATGTTAGACCTATACTATACCTCGTCTATGGTCTTATATTTTTGGATCGGTAAGGTAGTTAAAATTGAGTCGTGAAAATCCGTCGAGTATTAGGTTTACTGTATATTTTATCTCTGGTGATACAAGTGCATATACCTCTTCTGTAGTGGTATTATTAGTGGTAAAATTGCAGACGAGTCCTGTATTTAGTCTATAATGCAATATTAGATCTATTTTGTTCCTTGTTTATGACAGAAAAGAAATTCTTGTTAAAAATTTGATTACCGACCGAGTATAAAACAGATCTAGTGACTATACTTACGAAAGTCACCGATAGATGGCAAAACCAATTCTTTTTTTAAAGCGGCTTAAAGACGTGATATATTTCATAGTGTGTGTACTAATATAACTGATGGGTCTAATTGTAGGTTAAAATAGAGTATTTTATTGTTATTATTGCACGATAAAGTCAGTCTAGGGACCTATCGTATGATCATCTACAATTAAATACACATATACCGCTACACTCAATAATGTCCCTTAAATAAACTTTAGAATAATAAATCTAGATAAACCTGCAAGAAAAACATTTATATCTAAAAGAAAATGAGTGAGGGAACGATATGAGTATAAAATAAATAGAAATAACAAAAGTCAACAAAATGCAACAAACAACCCAACGATGAAATATTCGAATTGGAAAATAAAAGTGAATTCTTCTAAACTATATTATAACAATAAATCATTAAATAATTAAGAAATTATTATTAAATATTTTACAGGAGGAGGGAGTGGATATTGGCTATTAGCTAGTCTATGGTCTAGCGAATGATCACCAACCACACCAACTTTACTTTCAACTAACGTTAGTGAAAATTTGGATGTTATTTCTCCCAAGTCAAATCGACAAATGACTCGATCAATGATCGTGTGTCTTTTACATAGTCGATGTTGGGCTGACAATTGGCGAAATTTCCTAATCGTTACTGATTCCGCTTATAGTTACTTTTTATTGAAATAATCAAAAATCCGTTCACTATTTTTACGTTCTATAAAAATTTATGTTAAAGGTAATTTGTTATTAACAATAAATTAAACAATTTACACAATTTTTATTGATTGTGAGTATATTTATGCTTCTGTATTATGTTCTTTTGATACAGGTACTATTATGAATCATTAATTTATTAGTGCAGTATTATCATCAAATATGTCAATTCTGAAAAATAAAGAATTAAAGAAGACAAATAAGTAAATAAAAAAATGGTTAGTGAAAAAAAAAAGTTTTCTAATATAATATTACTTACAATTCGAGAATTAAGAGACAATAATAGTTATGACAATAAGCATCCATTCATTCATTCAAAATGTAATTTCTTTATTATATATAACATAAATATAAGCAATGTATGTTTAATTCTATTTAATATTAATATTTTTTGATAACAAAGGTACAATAATAAAAGGAAACTTAGAAGTCACATTGCATAAGCTGCGGTGTCCGAGTGGTTAAGGAGTTGGACTCGAAATCCAATGGGTTTTTCCCGCATAGGTTCGAATCCTATCCGCAGCGATCTTTTTTTTTTCTTCAAATCTTTTTTAATTCATTTTTAATTTAAGTATTACTTACAAAATGTCAGTATTATAATTTATTATTCTACGTAGGATAATGTTCAATATTCTATAATTCTGTACATCTTAAAAATTATTCAACAGTAATCTATATCTTTCAGGTATTATCAATTTCCTTATAATTTTACTATTCTAATTTATTCCTGTACTGTTATATAGCATCTTAATAATTTCTGGACAGCAATTATTACCTTCTTAATTATAGAATACAATACAATATAGTAATATAATAAGAAAGTGAGAAAGTATAACAATTCAATGATTATTACACTATTTCTACCAAGTACTGTATAAAATTTCCTAGTTTCTAGATATTAATTATTATAAATTAATTATTTTATATTAAAATGTCCCTATTCTTTTGAACATATTTTATGATAATAAATACAAATTGCGAAATAGAATATAATACAATAAGTGGTAATTGAAATTTTTAATAAACACTAAGACAAATCCAATCTATTAATATTTCGCTTTTATCAAGAATAATATTTGGTATTTTGACACAAAATACTTTTTTTACATTTAAACTCTTGTTTATGTACAAATTACACGAAATGGCGAGAAAATAAGGAAATACATTTGTCGACAATTGTCCGTTTATTTTGTTAAATTAGCGAATCGCAAATTTTAATTCATTGAGCGAGGTGGGACGATGAATCACGTACAATTATTATCATTTTGTTATTTTAATTTGGAACATAAAACAACATTCTTCGTCCTTTTCGTTCCAGATTTTCCATTTAAGATCGTACGTTCGCTAAAACAAGAATAGTTTCCAGTTAACATAAAATATTAATTTCTTCCTTTTCAATGAATTCTTTATGTCCATACATGTATGTAAAAGACGCTAGGAATTATTTTATTATACATTAATAATAATTAATATATATTAACAAAACTTGTATACACGAAAATAATAATATATATACTTTAGTGTATTATATATCTATGATATTATTAATATATTTATATTATTATTACTTTGATGTATATAAATTTTAATAATATACATATATTAATATGTAATATAATATAATATAATATAAGAAAAATTTACA